AAGGAGTGACAAAGACTGCTGACTGGCCACCAAAGGCTGGGAAAGGACAAGGAGGGAAGCCCACAGCTTCAAGGGTACGCCTTGACTTTGGATTTCTGGCCTGTAGAACCGTGAGACAATAAACTTCTGTTCTAAACAACCCAGTTTCTAGACTTTCTTCTTACAGTAGGTCTAGCAAACTAACCCGCTAATAAATATGCCCGTCCATAGTACCATTTGCTGTCTTTGAATCCTTAAGATGGAATTTGATTTTTAAAGGGTGTGCTTAATCAGTCAAAGGCAAAACTGAGGTTACCATCAGAAAATTCCTCCTCCCGGTCCCCACCTTAGCAGCATGGTAAAGCATATGAGCCCCTTCTGAGTGTTCTTAAATTCATAACATACGTTGCACTATGAATGAGTCCAATTATACTGAAATACGTTCAGTATAATTAGTGATAGTATAATATCATATAATTTGTTATTTTCTAAAAATATTTTTTCTTGAGATAGGTATTGCTACGTAGCCCAGGCTGGCCTATAACTCATGATCCCTGCCTTCACCTCCGGAGCGCTGGGATTACAGGTGTGTCCCATCATGCCTGGTTATAGCAACACACTAAAATTAAAAAAAGTCTAGGGGCTGGTAGAGTGACTCAAGTGGTAGAGTGCCTGCCCAGCAAGTGTGAGGTCCTGAGTCCAAACCCTAGTATCACACACATACACACACAAAAACCAGTCTACTAATGATATTCAGAATAAATGGTATATTGAAATAACTCATATATGTGAAAACATTTGTGAATTCTATTGTGGCCAAGTCACAAGTCTTGGTAACACTATTGAATAGTCATCCTTACACCCAGAATTTAAAGATACACTAAATTTCAGTTAGAGGTTAATAGAAATATGTATATATATTTATATAATTAATACATTTACAGAACACTAATTCCTGGATCTCAAAACCCCCCTGAGTTCTGTCTAAGGACAGGAAGGGAGGGAGCCTAGAAAAATAATAGCAGAAGAGGAAAGATTCTCAGGTTTTATTCAGAAAAGTTTTTTCCATTTTGGTGGAGTTGGCCTCAGTGACCCCAGCACAGCTCTGAAAGTGACTCAACAGTCACTTTCTCATGTGCCTCCCTGTACTGCAGGGAAAGCCAAAGGCCACACGCAGCCTCCTTTACAGGCACCATTCTCAGTGAAATTTGGGTTCAGTCCTCACGGATGAGAATCCATCCGAAATGCTTGGGACCACAGTGTTTCAGAATTCAGGTTTTTGGGTTTTGAAATAAATGGGCAATAATAGACTGTCCTTTTAAAATGTGACTATAGCTGAGGCTGGGTGTGGTGTTGCGTGCATGTAATGCTAGCTACGGGGGAGGGAGAGATTGGGAGGATCACAGCTTGAGGCCAGCCCTGGCAAAAAGTTACTGAGACCCCCCCCCCACCGCCATCTCAACGAGTAAGCTGAGCATATGGTACATGCCAGTGAGGAGGTATAGGTAGGAGGATTCTGGTCTGAGGCCAGTGTAGGTAACTGAAAGACCTTTCCCCCCCCAAAAAAAAAAAAAAAAGGGCGTGTGTGTGTGTGTGTGTGTGTGTATCTAGAAAGAGAGAGAGCGACAGTCCCTATTTGAGGGTACATGGAAAGAAAAGAGGATGACAGAGTGAGTAGTACTGAAACACACATCTGTGTGTGAAGACAGTATAACACAATGCACTGTAAGTGGCTGAATAACGGGAGCAAGATGGTAGAGAAAGCGTAAGTAATGGAGGAGTTAATCTGATGAGAGTACAATAGACACACATGTGAAATACAAAGGTGAAGCCACACTAAACTATCAACTTATAAATGCTAATAAAGATGAAGGACAGGAAGGTAAAACAGGTCTTTTCTTTCTGGGGGTGGGTACCGGTGGGAGGGGAAAGAATGTTACAAAATGAAAAATATTGAATACATCTATGTATTAATATAGCATAACAATGCACTGTAAGATGTTGAATATTGGGAAAGTATGGTGACAGAGAAAGAGTAAATAATGGGGGGTGAATTGATTAAGGCATGATATATACAGGACAGAAGTGTCAAGATGAAACCCCCTTGGACTATCAATATACACCTAAAAAAATGAAGGATGAGTGAGGTGAATATGGTGGATGTATTTTGTATTCACACATGAAAACAGAAGAATGAAACCTACTGAATTGTTCTAAAGGGGAGAGGTGGGCAGAGGGAGACTGATGGAGAGTGTAGCTCTAACTAAGATATGTTATAAACACATAGGTAAATGTCACAATATATCCCCCTATACAACTATTATATGCTAATAAAAAGTCCAAAAGGTAAAAATATATATAATCTGATATATTATACATTAATATATCATATATTATATATATCTCACACATATAACATGGTATGAATATAAAATGACTTTACTGATTGAGCACCACCAATCTAAAAATCCCAAATCTAAGATGCTCTGAAATCCCTAACTTTTTCAGCACCAACATGATTGTTGAAAAAGTTTTGCATTTTGAAGCATTTTGGACTTGGGAACTAGGGATGCTCTACCAGTCTTCACACAAGATTTGAAAGAAACACAGCAGAAGCTCTGTGCCTGACTTTGCTGGCACACACAGATGTGGACATGGTTGGTTTTTTGCAGTGGTCTTACTTTGGTTCTCGTGTGAAAGGGGCAAGGGACAGACTTCCACTTTGTCACGCACCCTAGCAGGTGTGGTATGGGTCAGGAACTGGCAGCAGCAGTAGCATCTTGATCACAGTGGTTTCCAGGCTGTGGAAGCAGTTGTGTGGCTCCCTGAGCACTTGTCTGCTGGCTTTTACTCATGGGCTGACAGACAGCTCACTGCACTCTGTTCTCAATCCTTCCTGCACTTGCACAGTCAAATTAATGCCCTGAAGTAAATCTCTTCTTGCTAGCGTACTGTCATTTGCAACGGAACTCTGATCTGCTAGACTCATTTATATTCCTTCCTATAAAGAACCTGCTGCTTTCTGGTCTTTACCAAAACACTTAAAATACTTCCAACTTAAATCACAACGGAGCAAAATGCTAAAATGCCCACTTTTCTTAATCTGACCAAAACCCCATATTTGAATATATATGTCACAGAAAATATTATAGAAAATACATAGAATAGTCCGAGAATTCTGCACCTGTCCAGTTGGCTATAGTCACTCCCCCAACCTTTTTTTTGGTGGTACTGGGGGTTTGAACTCAGGGCCTTGAGCTTGCCTGGTAGGTCTCTGCCACTTTGAGCCATGCCCTCAGCTCTTTTTTGCTTTAGATATTTTTCTGATAGTGTCTCACACTTTCCCAAGACATCTTTGGACCATAATCCTCCTACTTTTGCCTCCCACATAGTTGGGATTACAGACATGCCCAACCATGCCTGGCTTATTGATTGACATAGTAGTTTTGCTAATTATTTTTTGCCAGAGCTGGCCTCCTGATCTCCACCTCCTGAGTATCTGGGATTACACGTATGAGCCACCATACCCAGCCTCAGCTATAGTCACCAATAAGGTAACTTATTGCCCAATAACATAAAAATACAAGATTGCTAAAATGAAGAATATACCTAAATTATTTACCTATTTCTCTGTGAGTGTACAAATTGGCTGCTTGCTAAACCAGTTGAAGATCAAAGGTAATTTCTCATATGGAGCGACTGAATATTTAACTGTCCAGGCCAGCCAGGGGCTAGGCTAACTTGATATTCTTCTTTAGCCAGGAAACATCAAGATGAGGGGGGTAGGTTGCCCTGGAAGCCAAAACAAAGCCCAAAAATATGTCTTAAAAATTCTACTAACAAAAATGAACTTGTATGGACATGACCTCAACAACACAGGCCAAAGAAAATGAAATAATCTGAAAATGAACTTGTGGACCATTGTTGGTTACAGATGAGTTAATTAAAATCTCTGCATTGCATTTAATAGTAATTTTTTTTCTCTTTTACTTAAAATAATCTACCTATATAGACCTATAAAGATATATAGATATATATGCATATATATTTTCTCCTTCTCCCATCACAAGATGAATTTTTTCCAGGACCCAGCAAAACTCTTTTGAAGGTTAGAACTTTTTAGTAGAGTGAAATGTCTTGCATTTTTAATTTCAATCATTACAAAAGAAAACAGTATGATTTTGCATTTTAGCTCTCTGAATGTGAAGTCTCTATGTTAGCAGGCTACCTGTCACTTTACAGAACCATTTAGCAAACCCCTGTACGCCAGAGACATTCCTTAAGTATGAACAATCCCTTTAACAAAAGGGGGAAACCAACAGCTAAAAGTTCAACTTGGATATAGAAACCAAGACTAGGAAATCTCAATCTTGGATCTCAACGTTGTCTCCTGTCTTGAAAAGCCCTTTCTTTAAAGGGGTAATCCCTGAAATCCCCACTTGATGGTGGCAGCTCTGTACTTCGATTGTCTGTAACCTTTCATATAAAAAAGTTCTAAACCGGTGCTGGCGGCTCATTTCTGTAATCCTAGCCACTTGGTAGGCTGAGATCATAAGGACCCTGGTTCGAGGCCAGCCTGAGCAAGCAGTTCTCCAGACCCCCATCTCCAAAATAACCAAAGCGAAATGGACTGCAGGTGTGGCTCAGGTGTAGAGCCCTTGTTTTGCAATCGTGAAGCCCTGAGTTCAAACCCCCGTCCTTCCCCCCCAAAAGTCCTAAATTATCACATATATTTATTTTCTTCAATACTAGGAAATTGCTTTAAAAAACCGACTTTGTGATCTTTAAAACCTTTAGGTGAGTGATTTTCTTTAACAGCAATGCAGTTTTCACAACAACAAAAAAATCAAGCTTTGCAACCTATATTTCATAGTGGATCTATTTTTAGCTGGTTTTGCACTCTAAGAACACAGGTCTGTGTCTGGTTGGCTCGGGCGGCTTCCGACCCTGGGAGAGAGGCCGCAAGGAACTTTAAAGAACTTTAAGGAACTTGGTAGAGGGCGCGGCTGGGTCCCCATTACCTCCATGTTTCCGGTGCGAACAGCCGGCGAACAAAGCCCGACTCCCAGGAAAGGGGTTCCCCGGCCCGCGGCTCGCCGCACCCACAGATCCGAGTGGGATCCACAGATCCACCGGGATCCGAGTGGAGGACAGAGACGCAGGGCCAGGCCAGGTGGCACGCGTCCACCCCCGACCCCGACCCCGACCGGCCGCAGTCCGCACAGTCCTGCGAGCCCCGCGCCCTCCGCGCCATCGCTCACCAGCGCCAGCAGCAGCCGCAGCGCGCACCGGCCGCCCGGGCCCCGCGCCATCTCCGCGCCCCGCGCCCCGCGGCTCCCGCGCCCCGGCCTGCGCTCCGGCCCCGCCTCGCCGCCCAGCTCCAGGTGTGGCCGCCCGGGCAAAATGCAGCCGGGGCGCCCGGGGCGGCCCGCGCGGGGTGGGACTCCTCCCAGGGGGAGGCGCAGGCCCCGCGCCCGCCCCGTCGCACGTGCACCTGGGACGGTGACGTCCCCAGCCTGGGGACCTTGGTTGGCAAATCCCGCCCCTCCCGGCCCTACCTCTGGCGATATCCTTCCCGATACCCTCTTGCGACAATGGCCGGGAGCAGAGGGCCTCCCGGTGACCCGCGGGGCCCCGGTCCGAGGGCGAACCTGGCTCTGGAGGGCCGAGATCTGCCATCAGGCCCGCGATCGCACCACCTGGCCCCGAGCTTAGGGGCCGCGGAGAGGAGACCCTTGTCCTCACAGCGGCCACCGCCGCGGGGTGTGGGGCCCGCTATCGGGAGCAAGATTGCAGGTGGTGACTTCCCTAAGGCTTCTCACCTCCTCCTTGTGGCCCTGTCATTACTTCTAGAAGGTTGCTCGGGAAGAAACAGTTATTAGAAAAATAACAGGAGTTAGCCGGGCGTGGTGGCACAGACTGTAATCCCAGCTACTTGGAAGCAGAGATCGGGTTAGAGGCCAGCAGGGACAAAAAGTTACTGTCACCCCATCATCACAAATAGGCCGGGCTTGGTGGTGTGCGGCTCTGTCCCACTAACCGGGTGGTCATAAGTAGTCTGAGGCCAGCCCAGGACAAGATACAGACAATTTTGGAAAAAGAACTGAAGACAAGAAAAAAAAAAAAAAAGGCTGGAGGCGTGGCTTAAGCTCCTGCCCAGTAAACTGGCAGTTCAAGCCTCAGCACTACAAAAAAACAAAAACAAACAAAACAAAACAAAAACAAAAAACCCTGGAAAACAAACAAAAAAACCAGATGTCAAGTCACCCTTGCTGACTACAGAGGCCAGGAGAAAACTCTAATGGGAAATACATACTCTTCTGTGTAATTTGCAAATTCATTTACATAGATGGCACCTTAAGTAATTGATAATTCCTCTCCCAGAGTAACTGGCTGTGACCTGGACAAACCTCTCAGTGCCTCAGTTTCCAGATCTGTTAAATGGGGCGAAGGGTATTAATTTGCTGTTGTGCAAATTAAATCAGGATGCATTCAAAGTATTCTGCAGTATCTTCCTCTTAGGGTTCAATAAATCATAGTTGTTAAAATTATAACAATATTATTGCAAGGGTAAAATGTTAAATTGAGCTCTTAGAAAAGCAGAGACTGAGTATGGACATTCAAACACTGAAATCAGTACTGGATTAGGAAACGTCCAAGAAAGACTACTTGACATTGAAGAAATGGAGGAGCCTCTGTAAGCTTAGAGGATTGATTGGAAACTAGAAAGATACGTAAATTTAGCTGAAATGGCAGAGTTCCTTCTGCAGTCAAAAGTGCCTCTCTGCCAGTATTTCCTACCCTTCATTCCCCAATTCCAATCTGACCAGTTTTCACCTTCCTGTGCAGTTGCCATCTCCTTATTCCTCCCTTTCTTCCCGAGGGCTGAGAAATACTCCCCGTGTTTGTTAGAGTCTAGCTTGACTTTCTACTCTGTGCTTTAAGCGGGATTGGCAGTTAGTTAAGGACTAAGCAGCTGAAATGGTTTCTGCTCAGCTCACGCAGCTGTTTCGGTGAGGATAACAGTACACTTGTTAGATACCTAAACGGAAGGGAAGGATGTCTTCTACTTTCTACTCCTTTCTCTTGAGCTGGTTGTGGCTGGTAGCATACCCTGGTAGTAATTCCTATTCCCCCTCATGCTGAGAAAACTCCTAATTAAAGGAGGCAGGCTCTTACCAACACATGTTCACAAATCATCCCTGGAAGCTTTATATCAGTCCTGCCTAAAATTAGTGCTTTTGCAATTGTGTCCTATAGTCAAGTGTTTATGCCTTATTACCAAGGCTGCGGTTTCTGTTTTGTAATGAAGATAATTATAGCCTCCAGAGTGAGAAATAGCTGATACAAATTTTATTTCTGTTGGATTATTCAACTTTCCCTGGAAGCTGTCAAAGTCAGTTTCAAGACAGTATTCCTTCTATAACACATTTATCCCAAGGCACTGAGAGAAGGTGTCAATACCTGCACGGTCCAATGCAGTAGGATGTCATTCTTGAATTAGTTCCACGTTTAAAACTCTAAAGCATATGACTCAGTAAGTTGAAGGAACTTATTGAGACTCAAATGACACATAGTGAGTTCTCTAGCTCCTGACTTTTTGAGACAGGGTCTCACTATGTACTTGAAATCCTCCTGGTCATCCTGAATGCTGGGATTACAGATGTATGCCACCACACCTGGTGCTCCGACTTCTTTATGCTTGGATGAGAGTAAATTTATTTCATAAATCTCTCTGCCCAAAACCAAAGTAACTGTTACCAACGAGCACTGAATATTGCTTTAAAATTAATCGGAGTGTTAATAAGATGCTAAAATTTTAACTTACAGATTTTCACCCTAAATTAGTTGAATGTTATGGCAAACTTTTCTGAAATGTATTAGTTCAAACGAAATTTGTGCAAATAATTAACTTTAACATCTAGATATATTTAAAATATTTAACATTTTCTATAAAATGTTTTACTTCCTACGTGCAGGTGAAAATAATCTTCAAGTGATGAGCTATTAGAATCACCTCTTAAGATCATCTAAAACAAAAAGAGTTTTAGAAAGATTTTACGAAGAGTAATAAAATTAATGTGACCCTTTTTTGCTACCACTGTGTCCTCACTCCCAGCACTTCTTACCACCAAGCATCTTTTCATAAATTGACATTTTTTTAGCTAGAGTTCTGATAGTTGGCCATTTAATCCCAGTGAATATTCTAATATATATGTTATTAGAATTAAGTATGACAAGTGAAAGCTAAATGTGGCTACCATCATATTATAAGCAAATTATAGAAATCTATGACTGTTACAAAATACAAGGTTATTGTATTATATTGAATTATACTCACAGGGCCTTGATTAATAATGGCTCTAGAATTGGCAGTGTAGCTCAGTGGTAGAGCTGGCCTAGCATGTGTAAGGCCCTGCGTTTGAACACTAACCCGTGGAAAAAAAGACATGGCACAAAGACACAGAACAAACTATGAAATATCTCCCGTAATGTGAGAAGGATAATACAAGGAAGAATCTGATTTTAATTTAGTTCCATTCACTTATTCAATATTGAGATTGCCCCTGTTCAACAAAGAAAAACAGATACAATACATTAATGAAACTTATAAAAGAACATAACTGCAGCGGTAGAACTACGTGCAGGATGTGATGTGAATGGTGAAGGGAGTCCCTAGCTCATGAGGATTAGGGGATTAGAGGCCCTGGGATTAGAGGGGGCTTCTTGGGACAAGTGTGGTGAGCTGATGATTCTTGAGGGATGAGCGAATGTAGGTGAGACAACCACCTGCCAGGGTGGAGCTCCTCAGAGCACAGATACTGTTGGTGAAGAGTCTGGGGCTCCAGCTTCATCTCTGAATCACATTGGCACAAACTGGAAATTCAGAAGTAAAAACTTTCCGTGAAAAGATACTGAATTTGAGATATTAGAACAGTACCCAATTGAAAAAGTCTAGCAAGTAGTTCAGAATGAGAACACAATTACAAGTGGCTCTGGCAGGCAGCAGGCTCTAAGCCCTCTGACCTCTCACAGAGGAGCTGCACAGTCTTAAGGAACAGTCACTGCACTTTGGGGATAGAAACAGCCAGCCCTGAGAACACAGCCGCAGACGCCAACACCCACAGGGTGAGGGAGCCCCAGTGCTGTGAGTCACGGTGGTTCACAGAGCATGGTTCCCCAGCACTCCGCCGTCTGTCAGTATGCCGGGGCCACTGCTTTGAACGCAAAGTCCGGGAGCTTAAACATGTTAGGGAAATTGTCGACTTTCTTGGTGAGGTAGAGGAGAACTGGGGGAAGACACAAGAATTGCAGAGTAGGATTTGGTTTAGTGGAGAAAACAGGATGGTCTGTTCTTGAATCTGAGTAGAATTTTTAAATGTGATCAAAATGTAATAATGATGAGCCAAGACATAGGAAAAACAGGTAACCACCCAGAAACCCCAGCCAGGCCTTGATGACTACTAGATTGCTATTACCTCCCACTGAGAAATGCCAGAAAGGAAGTCCACTAACTAAGGGACTCCTTGCTGTTCAATGCATAGTACTGGGAGGCTGGCACACTAATGCATTACCTGCTATCTGTATCTTAGTTTGCCATCACAAATACACAGGCTCTGCCTCAGAGCCTTTGCACTTGCTGTCTCTTTTCCCTAGAAGTCTCTGCTCCCCAAATGTACAAAGATTACTCAATTATTCTAAATGTTTTTCCCTCAAGGGTTACCTTTTCAGTGAAGGTTTCCTTGACCCATGACTTTGAACTTGTAACTGCCCTTCATGGTCAGAGGTCTTCATCTCCCTTCCCTGTTCTTTTTCTTCTTGGTACATCGTGTTCTAAAAGACTATATTCTCTTAATTTACTTTCGATCATTCCCTTGAATGCAAACTTCATAGGGCTGGGATTTTTCTCTGTGAACTGCTATGAAGCACCTTAAGAAATTAATTAAATATTAGTTGAATGCATGAATGAATGAGTGAGTGAATAAACTTTCAGGGTTATTTTGCAAGGTGTGTGTGCATGCATGCGTGTGTGTGTGTGTGTGTGTGTGTGAAATGAGGACAAAGGGTAAAAGAGAAAAAGAACTTTATGTTCCTGGAAGGATATGGATAACTGTCACCAAATTGGGTACAACAAGCTGCTATTGGGGAAGTCTTGTCCACTGTGGGCAAAACTCCTCTACTTCACAATGTTGTCAAGGGGAGGCGCTGCTAATACTGCTTCAGCACGGTGTGGAGGACATTTGTGTGTTCTCCCTCTCCTTAGAAATTCTCTTCCTTTATTAGCAGTATGGAAAATCCCCTTTCCCACTGAACAAAGCAAGCATTCATTACAGGAGTGTGGGACTTGGGAAGATTCATTTTACCCACCCATGATAAATCTATGACTTGATTTTGCCCTAGGATTTGTTTATGAGGATTCTTGGAAAGATAAGGGCACTGGCAGTGGTGAGGAAGAAGACACTGGAATCCATCAGTGAGCAGCATGACAGGGCGTGCAGGCACAACAGTGTTTATTTACCAAGATGTGAGACAGAAACCATTGCTCTGACCCAAGGTGACTAATAAGCCTAGGGAGAGACGCAGAAAGAATTCTTCAGAAGACAGAAACATTCTGGTTTCTTGGCTATTTAATTCATTTGCAGACAAATGACATTCTTATCCTCCCCCTCTCCTTCCACCCTGCCAAAAAAAAAAAAAAAAGTGAAATAGAAGCAAACCTGAAAGTAAAATATTGGGTTGAAAGATCTTTTGGAAATCATCTAGAATGATTAAAA